CCGCGCTCCTTGTCAGGGGCGGCAGACAGCCTGTGGCCTCCGGGCACACCCCTGCCCCTGTGAAGGGTCCCGCCCCGCCTCCCCACAGGGCCTGCCCTCTCTGCGGCCCCTCCTCGGACACTGCGGAAGGTGCACCCACCCGTCTACACCTGGGGAGTGTGCCGGCTGCCTTCACTCACGCTGCTCGGCCAGAGGCGTCAGGTACCGGTGACGCACCCGCCTGGAGAGACTCGTGTTGCCCACGACCTCTGGGTGGCCATGCAGTACTGCCCTCCCCGCCGGGTGGCTGGGACCCCTCGCTGGGAAGGAGACGGTGTCTGGTTGCTTCACGCCCCTGTGGGCCTTGCTCACACCACTCCCTCATGGTGCCACTGACCACCTCACCGGCTAGCCACGTGGTCAGTGGGCAGCTCCCACTGCAGGGCCTCGCCGGGGTCTCCAGCTGTGGGGTGTGGGGACTGACTGCGGCACATTGGAGCCCGGGCATTCAGGCCCGCTCCCCCGTCACGCAACCCCATCAACGCCAGGACAAGGGGCCTGATTGTGCAGCAAGGGCTGGGCCTGCAGAGGGGCCAACTGCGGTTTGAATCCCAGCCCCGGCAGCTTGAAAACCACAGCACGTGTGTGGCCAAACCCTGACGGCACAGGAAGGGAGAAGGCTCTGCAGGTGGGACCCCACTGGGGGCTTTTTCGGCCTCTTCCTCATCTCTCTCTGGTGGGTGCACACACCTCCGGCATTTAATTACTCATCCCTGCCTCGCACGCGTGTGTATTTATTTACTTCTTTTTAAGGAGAAGAGCAAGAATAGTGAGTTTCGGAAGAACAGAAACACACATCACGAAGGAAGCCGTGCAGCCTGGCGCACCTGCTACGCTCCCACAGCGCCGACCCCAGGCCCAGCGCCCTCTCTGCGTGTGGTCCTGTGCTGGACCCCGGGCGTCCTGTGCTGCCCACAGCCACAGCCGGCAAGCGCCCAGCTGGGCGGTGAGTCCGAGTCCTGAGTGTGTGCTGGTGCCGGCCCCCCCTCGCCAACCCGTGGAGCCCACGGCTGAGTCCCGCACGTGTCACTCTGGGCCCCGCCCCATACGACCTAGAGGCTGTCCAGGCGTGCTGTCCCCTCTGCAGGGACAGGGACTAGTGCAATGCGCCTTACGACTCGGTGGTGATCGGTTTGGAAGGCAGCGGCTTGGCCGAGGCGGCAGGGCCGGGGTTGCTGTCAGAGCTGCGGTGTAGACTCGACACATGCCCCAGCTCTCCAGACCGCAAGGGCAGGGCCGTGAGGACCGTGCCTGGCAAGGAGAACCCGTGCCTCCAGCCAGCCTCGCCTGCTCGGTGACGGCAGCAGAGACGCTGCGTACAGCCCAGGAGCCCACCAGTGGTGCCCGCAGACCGAGGTGAGGCCCGGCCGTCTCCGAGCTGGCCCCGAATCTCCCAGGGCCCTGCGGGCATGTCCAGGTGGGGACACATGGCCACGTGCCTGGACATGCTCCTGCACGCGGTGGGCTCTGCAGGGACCGCAAGCCTCCCGTGCCTCGCCCTGCCAGGCGACCTGAGACAACGGATGGGGTAGGAAAGCTGGGCGACAAGGTCTCGACCCGCCGGA